TACATGTTAAATAATAAAACAGAACCACCCCTTTCCTTAAAAGAGAAGACAGTAATATTAACTATTCAGAACAAGATAAACCTATCAAATGATCAGAGCTCTTTTCTAAATGCATACATGGAAACAAATTCCTACTATTCTATGTAAAAACTGCATCATGACCAAAAAGCCTAAATAAAATTCCATTACCAAAATTTAATAATTTCAAAAATGCAGAAATGTAAAAACAGGTAAAAAAATTAAAAAATATGGAAGGTCTGAATTTGGCAATCCTCTCATGCCCCTCTCACAAGACCATTATGGCTTCAGTTAAATATTCCCACTCCTATTTTGAATGTTGGCATAATCAAATCTTGCTTAATCTGATTTTCATCCAAGAGCCCACAAGTAATGGTTGACACTGCCAGTCTTAACTGTATAGTGGTATCATTGAAATGAATACTTTTGATTATTATTTATTCTAATTTTCTTGTATAACTTTATTTTAGTTGGTTGTTTTTTTTTTGTCCTTTTCACTTTTCTATGCCATCCTATTTCCAAATGTTATTCTATATTTTTCTATTTCTTCCGTCACTGTTTTAATTTTCTCTTAATATGTGCCTCAGCACACACACACACACACACACACACATACATATATATATATATATATATATATATATATATATATATATATATATATATAAAATATAGATAACTAGACTCATTTCAAAAACCCTCAATTTTTGATTTGCTAATCAAATCAATCTCGAGGGAAAAAAGGTTTTAAAAAAGAAAGAGCTACAAACATGAACTTGCCGACAAAAAAAAATCACTTTAGATGCAGGTCTGAAGCCCAAAGAAAAAACCCGATATGAGTAACAACTAACTAACAAAAGAGCTCAATACAACCGTAGAGCAGACCTAGATACACCTAGTGAGCCAGACAAAGCTACCTAGGTTTCACCTAAACGGATTGTCAGGGAAAGTTTGGCTAACGAGGCAAACACATATTTATAGGTGATAGCTAAAATCATACCACATGACAAAAAAAAACAAAAAAAAACAAATATATGTGTTTCTCTTTGCCTCGTTAGCCAAACTTTCCCTGACGATCCGTTTAGGTGAAACCTAGGTAGGTTTGTCTGGCTCACTGGGTGTATCTATCTATATATATATATATATGCGTACACACATATGGCATGTCTGCATAAAATGCTTGTACATTAACTTAATTCACCATATTACATTTTAATGGGTGTCTATCATGAGTAGTAAACTGGATGGGACATTTTGTCTTGATGTTTTTCCAACAGATAAAATAAGTGCCACAAACATTTAAAAATGTAAAACCAGTTAAAAAAATCAAAAAAGGAATGGAAGGTCCAAATTTGGTGATCACATCATGCGCCTCTTCCAGGACCAGTACAGCTTCAGTTAAATATTCCCACTCCTATTTCAAATGCTGGCATTGATCTGATTTTCATCCAAGTGCCCACGAGTACTGGTTGACTCTGACAGTCCTAACTGTATATTGGTATTGAACAAACATGACAAATGAACATTTTTAATTATTATTTTATGATTTTCTTGATTTTTGTTGTTTCTTTTTTTTTCTTGTCTCTTTCACTTTTCTAAGCTATCCTATTTCTGAATGTTCATTCTATATTTGTTTTTTCTTTATTGTTTTAATTTTTTCTTAATACTTGCCTCCAGCATGTCTATATATATATATATATATATATATATATATATATATATATATATATATATATATATATATATATATATGTTTTCAATAAAAATATAGACAAGTTTTGTCTATTTATTTTAAGTAAATTCCTTTCATATTGTCAAATAAGCTTTTTAGCATTATCGCTGAAACACAAAAAAAAAATCACCATGTTTTTATTGTTAATCCTGTCTAAGCTTTCAGCTTGCATAAGCCATCATCAAAGATTACAAGTACATTACAATAAATTAAATAATAAATTACATAACAAAGATGGTAATTTTTGTTTTAGAATGGTTATGCAGACATTGCAACAATGATAGTTTGTTTCCATTGCATGGAAGATTGCTATGCAATGATAATCTCTGATCCATGTCTATTGAACAGGAGTAGAGGTTCATCCCTTGTTCCCTGTTTAGGATATGGTTTACTGGTTCTCTTTCTTTCTCCTACCACAGCCACAATGATTTAACTGTCTTAACTTTTTGGTGATAAGACTAATTAATGGTTGTGACTTCCTATTATGAGGGTACTGGGTTGGCAGTTTGCTGGCTGCTGCTTCCGACTGGTCGATAGGAGTCCGAACTGTTTGGTAGCACTTAGAGAGGCTGCTCTGATCAACAGTCACATAATAGGGTATCTGTAGTTCCATTTTGTGCATGGGTAAGTGTCCCTGCATGTATTTCCGGTGGGCAAAATGCTCTGTTCTCAGCTATGCACTAGGTGGTTTGTACTGCTATTGATGACAGATAGTGACAGTTATGGTGTTTTTTGTTTTTTTTTCTCCTCAAAACATATCTCATGGAAATCACAACAAAAAGAAATAAACTAAACTAACTACCAAAATAACACCTACCACATCCCCCACACTACCAACTTCAATCTTTCATTCTCGATATTCGTGGCATCCATTCCAACTTCTGCAGCATAGAATCTTTTCTTCTGGAAAAGTTGTTAGATATCTTTGCTATCTGTAAAACCAACTTGAATTCTTTCATTGCTACCAATGAATTCTTGGTTCTTTGCCAAAAAGATTCCAGCATTCACATACATGGTCTTGGTGTTTACATCAGGAATAATCTTTTGATGGCCAAGGAATTGTCTCTCAAGTCCTCTGACTACCCTTTCATGTCATTTCGTCTTTCACTACTAGACTCTGTCAGCTATCACTTTTTCCTTTATTGCTCCCCCTCTTCCTAAGACTGGGGTGACTTGAATGCTAGCCACTTATATGTGGCTGAGACATTGTAAAGTTACTGATATTGCTGGTATACAGACATTAAATTTTTCCATAGCACAATCCCTTACTCAAATTGTGGACTTCCCTACTTATTTCGCTGAACAACATAATTCTCTATTAGATTTATTTCTTACCACCTCTTCCCGCTCTTGCCAAGCTTCACAATACTGCCTTCTTGGTAACTCAGACCACTCTGTGGTAGCTAATGATATCTCCTTCTAAGCATCCATTAAACAGAACCGCCCCCCTATCTATAACACCTCTTTCCAATACCAGCATGCTGATTGAGACTCATTCCAGGATTTTCTGACATCTTCAACCTCTCAATTTAAAATTGCACCACTGAGAATTTTTCTTGGGTCAAACCTGGCATGAATGCTTTCATCCCTTCTTGGAAATACTAGGTGAAACCACAATCCTCTATATGGTTCGCACCAGCATGATTGACCACCATAGCACACAAAAACCACTATTTCTGGCTATACCAGCATGATAGCTCTCATCATAACAGGTGACTATTTGCTACTGCTTGTAACAATTGTAAATGAATCCTCAAAAAACTAAGTCCCTGTTTGCTGTGAGAATGAGGCAGCATATAGCCTCTAAAAACTTTGGCTCTTGTGACTACTGGTATCTCTGTAATAGGGCACTAAAATAAGTGCAAGGTGTCTATTCCACCCCGCCACCTCTTCATTTGATTTGAGGTGATATCATCTGCTGATAAAGCTTTGCCTGTAAATTTTCTTCAAACTCTACTCATGACTCATCTGGAGTATCCTTGCCAAACTTCCCACTTAGAACTGGTTCCTGTTATCATGTCTAACCTTGATCCCCACAATGCATGTGGACCTGGTGGCACCCCTTTAATAGTCATTAAGATGTGTGCTCCCAAACTAGTTCCTGTTCTCTCTAAACTGTATAATAAAGGTCTTGCTGCATCTTGCTATCCTGCTTGCTGGAAGTCATTGTCTGCTGTTCCAGTTCCAGTGAACCATCTGCCAATTAACAAGAACAATATTATGTTGGAAAATGAATATTTGTTGTATAAAATGTTATTAGGATATGGATGCTAGGGTACCTAATACAATTGGGGGTCAGAATTTTTTCTCTGTATGCAATAAATAGTTTGGTCTTAATAAAAGTGGGTATTAGAAAATAATTTAAAGTTTGAAAAAGTGCAAAGAGAATAAACAGGGTCTCAGGGTGAGGTCAGTATATTTTCTTAAAAATAATAAGCCATCTACAGGGCACTTAAGAGTATTGATCTGTGTGTGTGTGTGTGTGTGTGTGTGTATTTTTTATATATATATATATATATATATATATATATATATATATATATATATATATATATATATATATATATATATATTTACATTATTGTACGCCCAGCCTTCTTCAGGTGGAAGGACACATGGAACAGTGGATAAAAGCATTGGTTAGATCCAATGACAGGAACCAAAGAGTGAGTTCAAGACCCGGTTAAGTCAGTGGAGAACTTTCAGAGGGAAATTAATAGGAGATAACTGATGACTGATATCCATTAAACATGGCATGTGGAACTAGAATGGTCTACCCCAGTGAGCAAAATAAAGGGTCAAGTTTGACATTCCAACCCCTGAAGAAGGCCGGAGCATACAACGGCTGAAACATTGTAATAAATATGGCGACAAAGATGAGGACAATAGTCTGTATAATGTAAATAATGTACATAATACCTCATCTCAGAAATATAGACATATATATATATATATATATATATATATATATATATATATATATATATATAATGTGTGTACATTCCATAATTTTTTATAAGTAATCCTTTGAAAAAGTTATTTCAAAACACATCTATTGAAAAAGATATTACTAGACATTGTATATTTTATATTAATGCTATTATAATCATAATATCATATCATAATATAATTGTACAATGTTTTCCTATACATTATTATACCTATTCCATGTTATATATTATTATGATGTGTGTGTATATATATATATATATATATATATATATATATATATATATATAATTTTTTTCAGTAATTTAACTGGGGATGAGGCTCCGGCTGAGTGGCAGGGAAAGTTACCAATCAAATATCGAATTGGTCCAGGATTTTTAAATAAAGATTGGTGAGTATTATAACAATATGAAGTATTATGTTTAATTCAATTTAGATCATAAAGTTTTTCTGTGGCTTTACTTCTGCTATTGCATTTCATTCCCATTTGATGTTAGTTCTAAAGTAAGAAGAGTTTCTGGCAAGTACTGTACTTTTTTTATTTGCTTTTCAATGACAGTTTTTATAACACATATATTTAACAGATGTCATGTTATTGTTACTTTAATCTATCCAATTCGCCTGTCATGAACTGCCCATGTAGTCTGGTTAATGTCAATGTTCACCTCGGATGGGGAATGTTACCAAGCTAAATATGGTATTTTTAGAAAGGTTATGCTCTCCTTTTTTGAAAATTGCAAAGTCCTCATTTGGACCACCTGGGGAAATTTAGTTATGAGACATAATTTGAAAACCAGATCTGATATAATGAATCTGGTGTAAAACGTAGCCATATTTGACCATTATCTGCTAATATATATCAGTAGTCATGTATATAGCAGTGAAACAGTAGATAACATAAAAAAATAATTCAAAACAAAGAACTACCAGCTCTATATGTGAATAAAATTATTGACCAAACATCTACAATTTACAGACCAATAATTAGTCTTTCAAATTGAATGTGAAAAATAAAAAAAGTCTACATCGAAAGAGAGAGGTGAGAGTCAGACAAATATTTTAGAATACTTCTGATCAACCCATATGTTGCTCTCAGACCTTGCACTCACTATGTGGAGCCATCATGATGGTTACATGATATCTGTATATTTTGCAGACAACAGGAATCACTGATGCTGAGAGCATGAAATTTCGCCTGGTTATAGGTGTTGTTAATAGAGACAAATAGCTAGCATAATTTTATCTTCACTTTGACCTCTTCCTTTTTGGCAGTCTGCTCAGTAATATATAGGACCTATTCAAAGAAGACTTGACAGTCTTGTGTGCTACAAGCAAGCTATGACAAAAGAATGAAGACAACAAATAGATAGAAATAACTCATTGCATCAAGTCAACTAAGCAACTTGAGGCCTGAAAGTCCTATTTTGTTAAGCAAACTGATAAGCTCAAGGTGCTTTTTAAAAAAGTGTGTATCTCTTTTCACATCTTTTTGAAATCTGCCAAATATATGATCCTTGGTACAAAAACCAGAAAATTATAGAATTTGAAATTTTGAATTCAAACCCTATCACCAAAATACTAGGCCCAGAAAATAGCGCTCGAGCAAAAAAGGTTATAAGATATCACAAACTAGTATTGAAATATTCCCAGCTCCACTACCAAAAATAGCAAACAACAATGTAAATGGCCTGATATAACTCAAAATAAATGTTCAATTAAATTAGCATTATCTTCCAAATTCATCTTCTTGTAGAGCCAGATTAATGTTGCAATCAGTGCCACTACAATCACTGCATGCTGTTACACACGTGAGACCATATTTCTGGCAAGAGTAGATATTTGTGCTACATAGACTCTTGGACAAAATCTTGCACTTACAATGTACAAACTTTAGTAGTTCTTCTGGAGCATGATCGTGATGAGTAAGAACTTAAGCTAAAGTACCGATTCTCATTTCCCAACCCGGGCTGCAAGGATCAGTTTGGCAATAACCTAAATTTCAAATTATAACTTGAAGATGGACACGAGGCTGTGGAACAAAGCTGACCATTCAGTTGGAGGTAGTCTTTCAGGCTGTAATTTCTTTGTCAATGTTGCAGCATACTCCATATACTTGATGTACCTGAGGGAGTCCAATGTATCATCTAGTCTTCCTCCATACATCTTGACAAAAATCCTTGACCCTGCAGACACAACTTGGGCAGAAAAAGCAGTTGCATCAGCTAAAATAGTGCAACAAGGCTGGATATCCTTTGATTTATAAATAAGCTTGATTATCTCACATTTCTCATGCCCAAATACAGCTGATATTGAGTTACATCCACCACAGGTGTGGATGATTGGCAAGTTTTGCAGAATGTAACAGTTTGTCTTCTCTGCGATTTCATGGATTCTAAGCAAGTTCTTCATCTTTCCCTTGGAATGCATATAGATGTCAGCTATGTCTGGGGAAAAGCAAAAGAACAAGGATGTCTGTGTCATCAGCTATTACAGTCACTAAATTTCCTTCAGTCGGTAGTTTGAACATTTCAGAAAAAATATCTCTCTCTCACTTTGGACCACCCAATGAACATCTGCTTCCAAGGAATGTACATAACATCTGATTTTTGTTCTTGTTTGAGAGGAAGAGCTCTTTTGTAAACAGCAACTTGCAATCCACCTTCAATTTGTATGTTATAACCATGAAAAATGATACTTGATGGTACGTACTTGGCCTTCACGTGGCTCAGCTACTGTGCAGCCACATCACTGTATGTCACCCTAGGCAACCACTTCACTCAATGGAGGAGAGCACCTCCATCCAAAACAAACATTGTATCAGTTGGTGGCTGAGATTCAGGTACATCAATGGTCAGATGATGTTTCAGCACAGCTTTGCTTGTCTTTCTCATTTGGAAATTCTGGAAATTTGAAGTTGGAAATAGATTGAGTTTGAAGAACGGAGTCACATCTTTGCATCTTTCTAACAGAACAACCAGCTTTAAAAACAGAGCCTTAGGGTCAACATGAAATTTTGACCATCAATCTTTACATATTTTTCCAACTCAACAAGTGTACGAACTTCTTTTCAATGAGCTCTCTAAAATGTTCACTTTGTCAGGCTTCTTCTGGATCAAGGGATTAATCTCCACAATTGATTCCAGCACCATTGAATGCTGTCAAACCAGATGATACTGGTCATAGATCTAGCTGTCTTAGGTCTAAGGGGTTGTGCTGAGAGATCCAGTTGAAGGTATGGGTTATATCAACAAGAGCTCTCTTCTGATATGCACTAATCAGTTCTATGTGCTGCTGGCTGGTTCTGTGGGCAAGACCATTCAATGTTATCATGGCATCATGTACATGGGCACTCTATAAACCCACATCAGTCTCACTGATTCCATAAACCCTTGTCTCCTAGTTAGCCCACCTCCATTCTTTATGGATCTCATCATAACTTGTTCAATAATGAGGCCAGTAATGATCACAGTGTTGCATAGAATGAAACCTATATTCTTAGAACTATTGATGCAGTCAAGGATGCTTTTGGGGCAATTCTAACATCCATTGTAGGTACAATCATGCATGCTTTGCATAGATGAAATGCTTGGTTACTGCAAATAAATTTAGCATCCGCTCCACTGCCGCAAGATGAAAATTCCAATCTCCTGTTCTTTCGGGACCAATAAACAGCTTAAGCTTGTCGATGTACTCAATGTAGGCCAACCATAACTTTGCTGTTCCTGATTTACTCCTGAGTTCATGCATCAGAGTATTGAGCACTCTTTGCAGCTTCATGTGGTCTGAAGGTTTGCCAATGTCATCAGTACTGATCCCATGTGCTTGGAGTTTATTATACAAATCTTTTATTTCATCCACATCAGACTGTTCTAGTTTCTCAGGCAATAGCCTTGCACCACATCATGGAAATTTGTTTTCTTAATCGGAATCACCTCAAGCAAGGCAATAATGCCATTAAAACAAAAGAAGTTACAGGGTGTGGAAGAATTAGGAACAGAAACATTAATGATGAGCAGAAAGAGAAGTAAGTAATCAGATGGAGAGTAGATAGTAATTGACATTGCACTTAAATTTTTGCAGATTAAAGTTGGCTGGAAAGCATTGAGCCAGAAGGGAGTTTCACAAATGAGAAGTGCGAGAAAAGAAACTATTACCATAGAACTTACAGCTACATCTAGCCAGCTCAACTGTAAATTGATGAGATCTTGACATATCAGATGTACTGCTCTCAAGAGTTCCTTCAAAATCTAGAATCTCAGCTTCATTCCCCACAGAGGCAAACTCCTTTTCCATGCAAATAGTAATCTCTCCCTTATCTACAAATGCTATTTCAGTTGTGTCTGATAGCTAAGAAGTCAATTGGTCAGCATCAATAAGTTTGCTCATCAAAGCTGCATGTACAAAGAAGTGTACCTCTAAAGCTCTTGAGACAGCTTTTCCGGAAAGAATGTCTGACACTGAAGTTTCTGCATAGATGGTAGTCAGTAACTCGGCCAACCCAGCACCATTCATATGACATTTTTCCTTACCAGAAGAAGAAGTTTTGTTATGAAGAACTCATTGAAACAAGTCTAAACCTAATTTCCTATCCTAGAAAAATTTTTGCAAACATATTTATATATAACTTGCAAGCGCCTGGATGTGAATTACTTACAGATAACAAAAGAGAGAATTTCTTTCCATTTCTATTAACTACATATATGTTACTAAACAGCTAATAGCATCCAAGGATATAGCGTCCTACATCCTTACAAGAACCCAGCAATTAGGAATATGGATAAGAGCAATATATATATTCAGATTTCTTAAATTTGTATTGCAGACAAAAAAAACACAAAACACATATGTTGGTAGAAAAAATAAGAGAACATGAAAGATTTTCATCAACAGCATTCAAAAAGAAAAGTTAAAATCCAGGCATTAAATAAAATTCCTATATTCCTTACCATTCACTCTGGGTAGTTCACTCTTGATTAATTTTTCACTTCCCTGATCCAGAAAAGTCAAAATAAAGCCCACATTCAAAAAAGTATCTGTAATTTGAATGCTACCTATTAGCTGATACTATCTGATCTATAAGAATATGAAGTAGTTACAGATTATATAGCACAATCAGGAAACATAACCTCAAGTACTAATCATTAGAAATTGACATCATAATGTTTGAATAATTCATAAGATCCATTCGAAATGACCTGTACATGAAAACCACTTACAAGTGTAAACTACTCAAGTGGCTAAAAACCATGTTTCACGTTATATCACCTGATTTTTGCAAAGAAAATGGTGTTCAGAAAAATGACTGTAAAAAATTCTCCAGGTGGATAACAGAGGAGTTTTTATTTCCTTGAAGGATATAAAATTCCACTTCCAATGATTTAAAACATGTCT